TGACCTACGTCACTTGTACGTGGAACGCCGCAAATTCGTACTGGACTTAGGCCTCTAAATCTGATATTTTGAAAGGTGGGGAAGACGCCTTAGTCATGAAATCATGCACGTATTTAGCTATTACCAAGTCACCGCTTCGTTAAGACTGGAGGGTGATATCGAATCAGTCAAGAGGGTTGCAGTCTTTTTCCTACAGCACAGCGAATACCAGTCATTACTTGAGGAGTTCGACAAAGCGGAAACGGCGGAAAGCAAGGGGTTTACGAATTCTTAAAATGTATGCGGGCAGATTTTGCAGAAGAAACACAGGGCAATTAATTATCCTCTTACCTGACTTGTCAAAGCGGTTAAAATCGCTAGTCATACATCATGCTCCTGTTAACTAAAATCATGCTTCAACTGCCTCTGAGATATTCTAATCTAAACATTGAATCATTTATCGTTTAGTACGCATAAACACATATTATGCCTTCAGTATTAACCTGTCATTTTTCTCAATGTATAATCAAAAAACCATAGGTGGGCAATTAAGGTTAGTTCAACAGGCACACAAATCTAGCAAAGGGATCCGAACTGCCTGAAGACATAAAACCTGGCACCAAACTCCACGGGTTTAAGTAAATGAAAAATATTTCATTGGGTGAAAGATGTGAAAAGGTACTGATGGACTTGCCTGCCTAACACTCGACTGTCTGATTGGAGCATAATATGGATGACAGCGTTGGCGTATAATATTCTGACTTTGGTTTAGCAAAGCATTCTATTTTCACGACAAACATGGAAACAAATGCAATGAATGAAGTAAGGAACGTTAGAGGCGATATGAGTTCTGAAACCAGGGATCGCGTAACTCAGATTTTGTACGACATCATTCAGAACAATGAGGCCAAGTACCCTCAGACGCTTGCACGAGAGCTGAAGGAACACTGTGATGACCAACTGAAGGGCACTTGGCACTGCCATGTGGGCCCAAGTTTTGGAAGGTAAAAAGACCTGTCGCCTTAGTATTTGGAACATAACAGAGCAAGAAATAGAGTACTTTAAAACGTTAGCAGATGTTGGTTTAATCGCTGAATTAAAGTGCATAGGAAATTGTAAGCCAGCAACGTTGCTTCCTTACCTACTGCAAAGGTTTAAATTTTACCTCTTTCTCTTTGTAGCTCTTTTCCCTTTGAAAAAGGTTCCTATTACGCTGCAACTTACCGCGACCAAAATATTGTTCTTTACAAGTACGCGTGAAATTTATGTAAAATTCCTGGAAATAAAATAAATGGCCAATTAACTTCACTGTATTGTGTTAAACTTTGGGGAGTTTTTCCGGATCTCCGCAATTGGCAGCATGGTTGCAACAAGACACGCTGACTGTAATTATCATTTCAGCTTACTGCTCTTGTCTGCCACGCCTTAAGATCAGGAAAGCCGCCATTAGCGGAACATTGGGTTCAGTGAAATACTGATGTTGGGTATTTTGAGTATACGACATGTTTTACGGATGACTGATAACGGAAATGAGCTAGCAACAACCTTGTTGGCTCTGCGTGCTCATTGTAACGAAACGAAGCGTTTGACACAAGGTCCGTATAAAAGGCAAATTTGAGCCTGATGATTTATGTTTTGAGATTTGGAGTATAAATTTCCAAGATGACAATTGTTATAACGGACCGTGCGGTCTCACGTACAACCATAATTAATACGCTTCCGATATAGGGGCTGTTTAGAGGACATAGCAATCTAAAACATTCCTACCGACCTCATACTCACCAGTTTCTAAATGCGGTGGCCCATTGGAGGAGTTCATCAAAAAAATAATCGCCGGTGGGATCCCACTTGACCTACGTCACTTGTACGTGGAACGCCGCAAATTCGTACTGGACTTAGGC